GCAGATGGAGACAGCAGCCACGAAATTAAAAGATGCCAACTTCTTGGGAGGAAAGCGATGACAAACCTTGACAGCATCTTAAAAAGCAAAGACATCACCTTGCCAACAAAAGTCCGAATAGTCAAAGTTATGGTTTTTCCTGTTGGGATGTATGGAAGTGAGAGCTGGACCATAAAGAAAGCAGACCGCCGAAGAATTGATGCCTTTGAATTGTGGTGCTGGAGGAGGCTCTTGGGAGTCCCCTGGACTGCAAGGAGAACAAACCTATCAATTCTAAAGGAAATCAACCCTGAGTGCTCACTGGAAGGACAGATCCTGAAGCTGAGGCTCCAGTACTTTGGCCATCTCATGAGAAGGGAAGACTCCTTGGAAAAGACCTTGATGTTAGGAAAGTGTGACAGCAAGAGAAGGAGACGACAGAGGATGAGATGTCTGGACAGTGTCTGCGAAGCAACCAACATGAATTTGACACTACTCCAGGAGGCAGTGGAAGATAGGAGGGCCTGGCGTGCTCAGGTCCATGGGGTCACGAAGAGTTGGACATGACTAAACGCTAAACAACAACAACAACTTCCAAAGATTTTATAATTCTTAAGGAGCTTGTTTCATAATAACAATTAGTAACAATATACTTCTGCTTGCAACTTCCCACAGTTTTAAGATTTTTTAAATTAGTTTTCACAAGTTGCAATAATGGATTTCTGTTTAATTGTTTGTACCTACAGCTTTTCATAGCCATAAGACAGATTTCTGTATAATCGAAATGTGCCTGTAATTTCTCAAAAGCTACATGATTTCAGTAACACTTGGATTTTTGTGCATAGAAGCAATGGAGATGAATAAAATGTGTAGAAATAGGCAAGCTGATGTTGTCTGGATATTTTTTCTACTGGGAAGACTAATAAACTGTATATGACAAGGATGTCTAGAAAAGACTGACTTCCCTATAAGTAAAATGTGAGTGATACCCTATGAGCTTTGATATGACTCTGCTTTCACAGTGGAATTAATCCTTTCAGGGAAGTTCTTTTAATTCTACTACATCAGAGTATGTGAGACTTAAAATGTCCTTAGAGCTATTATGTACTTTACTTGGCTCTATTAAATGAGCCCAAAGAAACCACTTTGCTTTTATATGTCTATGCCCTAAAAATGTATTTATTCCCCCTATCTTTTGTCTTAATATTTGTCACAATTAAAATGTATCCTTAAAGAAATAAGTTGAAGATACTTTGCTTTCTGAAAAGTACTAATTACAGTAGATTGCAGTAATGGTAGAATAACTTTACTTTTATTAGATTTTTACCCCAACTCCCAAGACAAGGTCTACTTGGGGCGGCTTACATACATAAAAACATAGCAAACAACATCATTAAAAACATTTAAACATCAAAAATTTAACAATTATATACATCCTTGCCAAGATGAGAAGATTAAAGAAAAAGTAAAGGTCAGTTTAATTGACTGGAGGGAAAGCCTGCCTGAAAAGCCATGTTTTCAAATGGTTTTTAAAAACATTCAGCGAGGGCACCAGACGAATTTCTGTTGGGAGGCTGTTCCAAAGCTGAGGGGCCACTGCTCAGAAGACCCGCTTTCTTGCTCTTTCTTTCTGGGCCTCTCTCGGCGTTAGGCCCCTCAGCTGTCCCTGCTGGCTGTCAGGTGACTTGGGTAGAACTAGGTGGGAAAAGACGCTCTGCCAGATATCGAGGTCCCAAATCGTTTCGGGCTTTATATGTCATCATTAGTACTTTGAAGTCAATGCGGAAACGAATGGGCAGCCAATGCAGAGCAGCCAGAGTGGGGGAGATATGATGATATTTCCTCACCCCACTAAGGAGCCTGGCTGCCGCATTTTGAACCATTTGAAGTTTCCGCATCAACCTCAAACGCAGCCCCACATAGAGAGCATTACAATGGCCTAATCTCGATATTACGAGCGTGTGGACTAGAGTGGTGAGGGCCCCCCATCAACATATGGTCGCAGCTGGGCAATCCACCTTAGATGGAAGTAGGCAGAGCGGGCCACGGAGGCCACCTGTATTTCCATGGTAAGCGCCGGGTTCAGATTCTACTACTCAGATGTATCCCCAAGCTGCAAATTTCGATCTTTACAGCAAGGGTCAGTCCCCCAAAAGAGAGGGAATCACCTAAACCGCTGATGGAGGAACCACTCACCCTCAAGACCTCTGTCTTGTCCGGGTTCAGCCTCAAACCATTCAGCTGCATCCACTGCAGTACGGTCTCCAGGCAGTACTGAAGGGACAGAAAGGCATCCACTGAAATAGGTGAAAAGGAGATGTAAAGCTGCGTGTCATCAGCGTACTGGTGGCACGAAGCCCCACATCCCCTGATGACCCCGCCCAGTGGCCTCATATAGATATCAAACAGCACTGGGGAGATGATCGAGCCCTGCGGAACCCCACAGTTGAGATTCCACAGGCCTGAAACACTCTCCCCAAGCTGCACTCTCTGGGGATAGTCCTCCAAGAAGGATCGGAGCCAGGCAAGCGCCAGGCCATCAATTCCCAGCTCGGAGAGCCTCCCCAGGAGGATACCATGGTCGACGGTATCGAAGGCAGCTGAGATATCGAGGAGGACCAATAAGGACACATTGCCCCCATCAGCCTCCCTCAGCAGGTCATCCAACAGTGCGACCAGTGCCGTCTCTGTGCTGTAGCGCAGCCTGAAGCCCAACCGAAATGGATCCAGGGTAATGGTTTTGTCTTAAAGTGTCTGAAAGCGTCTGAAGTGTCTGCCACCATCCTCTCCACCACTTTGCTCAAGAAAGAAACATGGGCGACAGGCCTATAATTTCCAATATCATCCGCTGCCAAATGTGGTTTCTTCCTAATGGGCCTAATGAGTGTCTCCTTGAGGGCAAGGGGAACCTTGCCCTCTTGGAGAGACCCATTAATTTTTGCAGTGGCCCATTCCGTTGTTACCAGCCTGGCTGCTTTGATTAGCCAGGCCGGGCAAGGGTCAAGGGAAGAGGTGGTGGCCCGATAGCGATCAAGCGCTTTGTCCACCAAGTCTGGCACCATAGGCTGAAAGATATCAAGGATCACTGGGCAAGGCAGAGCGCTGGACATCTCTGCTTGATCCATTGTATTTAAAAAGGGAGAGAGGTCACAGCGGATGGCCTCCACTTTTGATTTTAAAAATGCTGCAAATTGGTTAGGTGAGATATTAGTGGGAGGCCCATCACCCAGACCAATTCTGGATAGATCACGAACTATACGGAAAAGTTCCGCCTGCTGATTGGAAGCTTTGCTTATCCGGTCAGCAAAGTGTGATCGTTTGGCAGCCCTTACCTTAGCCAGGTAACGGTTAGTTGTGATCCTGACAGCTATCTTATTATAATCCGTCAGTTCCTCTCTCCAAATGCATTCTAGCCTTCTCCTGATTCGCTTCATTGCTCGTAGGTCCCGATTATACCAGGACCCTGACCGAGCTCTGCACCTGAGAAGGCATTTAGGAGTGATCATGTCTACAGCCCTAGTGGCAGCGGCGAGCCCTCCACCAACCAGAGCTTCGACAGGAGCGCCAGACAGATCAGCTGGAATCCCTCTCATGGTATCCTGGAATCGCCGTGGATCCAGTAACCTTCGAGGGTGGACCACTGAAGAAGCAAAAATGTGTGAAGCTATCAAACATGGTATGGAAGTACTTTAAACCACGCCACTATACAAACATTACAAAAAACCCACAACAACCATTATAATCTACAGCTGGAAGAACACAATGGAAGTAACACAAATACTGATTTTAGTATCTGCAAAGGAAAGCTAGTAAAAAAAGAGATTACGAATGTTTCATTTCACGAGCAGCTATAACTGACAGCACTGATGGAATGTCAATCACATTGAGTTTATATGGTCAACTTAATTTTTTGTTAACAAACAGTTATAGATCATAGATTACTGATTAATTCAAATTGGTGAACAGAGAGTACTATGTCTTGAGTTCACTTCACAGCTGAGGAAAGTAAAGTACCGGTAGTGTACTAACAATATGCAGTGCAAAGAAGTCAAGAGTTGAGATGGAAAGGATAGCTGAGCTATATCTTACTAACTTCAGCTTGTAAAGTATTTATCATAAAAAAGATTTTGCAAAGAAAACTTTCGTATGGTTGATTGCTCAGAAGTAAAAAAGATTTTGCAAAGAAAACTTACTTCTGAGCAATCAACCATATGAATGAAACACAAACCCAACTATTACAGATTTTAACTACAGAAAAAGTAAATTTATTTAACACCAATTCATTCGTCCATCAGCACTTTCCATTATTTCACCATACCAAGATCTTGCAATTGTTTGCTTAAAATAAGATATATCATCTCTACAGTTCATTCAGAAGAATTCAGCATTTCAGGAGCATAGAACTGATCCTTTCTCCCAAGATATAGGAAAACTGCCTTATGAAATACCAGTTCATTTATACTATATAGTCTATGAAAAACAACAATCATTCTTCTTGTTGTTTGCCTTAGGCTTTTTCTCAGATGAACATGTTAAAACTGTCATGTGCAATGCTATTCTTGAAAGAAACAAATCTTACAAAAAATGAAGAGGATGCTTATCTTATGATCTAGAAACACAACTTCATAAATTATGACAAGACTTCTGAATTTTTTAAACTATTTGCACAGCAAATTCTATATTAAGTAAGATAAAAGAGTACACAGGTATGCTAACTTTCAAAAGGGATATATATGGTGTGGTGAACTCTTATGTTAAAAAGTAATCATTTAATGTGTTTCCTGCTACAAGCCCTCAAGTGCACTCAGAAAGTGGTGGACATTTATGAACTATAGCAAAATATGACAAACACAAAAACTATAAAACTTATTTGTAAGGCAATTCTGACAAACTTTCCCCATCCACTTACACACCCACAAGACTAATAAGAAAATTGGCATTTATCCAACTGTCACATGCCTTAAGAGACCTTGATAAAAAATACCAGAACAACTGTATACTCTTTTTCTCTCTAACACACATATATGGAGTTCTGTTTTGCAACTTTATCTAACTGGAAAAATCAACAGTTTTTTTCCTTTATAGAAATCCCTGCCGTTTAGTTGACAAATATCTCACACACTGTTTAAAAAATAACTTTATAACGAATGCTAGAAGATTCTACCAATTCACTTCCTCAAATCCTCACCCCATCACATTTCTGTATACAGTACAGTACTTGGTGCTCCCTCTGGAGCTTTTCACCTCCACCCTTCCGCTCCCTTGTGTTAATCTTCTACTCGCCCAAGAAATACCAGCAACTCATTCTCCTGAATGCCACAAAGTCCCTTTCGGCAGCACTATGTCTTTCCTTCCTTCCTTCCTTCCTTGTTCCTCTTTTTTAACTTTAAAAAGGCCAGGGAGAAGGACAGGAGAGGCGCAACCTCCCCAACCCCTCACGTGTTTCCCTCTTCCCTCCCCGTTATCCCAAAAATTCTCGCCGAGACCATGACCGACTCCCGCCTTCCCTTTCATAGATGGGGGGGGGCGCGCAGGAGGCTTTTTTTTTCAAGGGCCTCCTTCCTTCCTTGTTCCTCTTTTTTAACTTTAAAAAGGCCAGGGAGAAGGACAGGAGAGGCGCAACCTCCCCAACCCCTCACGTGTTTCCCTCTTCCCTCCCCGTTATCCCAAAAATTCTCGCCGAGACCATGACCGACTCCCGCCTTCCCTTTCATAGATGGGGGGGGGCGCGCAGGAGGCTTTTTTTTTCAAGGGCCGCNGTTTCCTCCCCGCCAGGTCAGCCCGTCTCTTCTCAACCTCGCTCTCCAATCTCCTCTCCTCAACTCACAGGATGCCGGAGCAGGAGGTACACACGAAGCTGCCCACCGTCATGTCGGTGTAGGTGGGGCCGCGCTGGTCACAGTCGAAGCACTTGCGGTTGGGCGGGAGGCTGCTCATCTCCCTCAGCAGTTTCAGGTGCTTCTCCTCTTGCTTCCGCTTGGCGCTCGCCGCCATGGTCTCCGCCGGGGCGCGAAGTGTCTGTGTCTGTGTGTGTGTTGGGGAGGGGGGGGAACCGGTCCCCGGGCCCGCTTCCACCTAACCCGGAGAGAGAAGCCGGAGGGAGACGAAAGCGGCGACGAAGGGGAGGCCGAGACTGTCCCGCTCGGGGCTCAGCAGGGGAAAGGGAAAAAGGAGAGAGGGAAAGAGCAAGGCCGCGGCTGGTGCCTCTCCACTGCGCGCGCACAGGCGCGCGCGGGCACGCACACAGCCCAACCGCCGAACAAGGAGGAAAGGGGAGGGGGAGGGCGGCGGTGGAAGAGGCGCGCGTGCCCGACAACGCCGGGCCCCCGGACGAGCTCAATGACTCGCTGAGGCGGAATCTGCGCGACACTTTTTCCCTAGACTAGACAAGGAGAAGAAACGAGCGCTCGGCGACTCCCCTCCGCTCGCGCCCCGAGGAATTGGAGCAGCGCCCCCTTCCGCCCGGGAGGATCCCTTGTCGCTTGCTTTCTCCCGGTGGGTCGGTCGGTTACCTGGCGTGACCCTTCTCGGAGAGAAAAAAAGAAAACGAGAGAAGGAAAAGCAGACAAACCTAGTCGGTTGTAAGGATTGTGAATTGGGGAAAGGAAGAAGGAGTAAAAAAAAAGATCAGAGTTAACTCCCCACTCTGCCCAGCTCTCTGACTCACTTGTAAAGAATGTGCTTCAAGGAGTGTTTGTTTTGAGTCACATCTCTGTTAGTTTTCTGTTTGAGTCTTTTCTTCTTCATTGATTTGAAGAAAAATGCTGACCTCAGAATTAATCTTAAAATCATCGATTTTGAATGCCTATTCAAAGTTGGTTTAATTTAGTTGGATTATGGCCCATACACAGATGATATAGGATTACTGTATATTGATCTATGCAGTGGTTCCCAACTTTAGGTCCCAAGTGTTCTTGGACTACAACTCCCAGAAATCCTGGCCAGCACAGCTAGTGGTGAACGTTTCTGGGAGTTTTAGTCCAAAAACATCTGGGGACCCAAAGTTGGGAACCACAGGTATTATTTTACCAACAGTCATATAAATCTGGAAGGCACTTCCTCCTATGCTAAATAGTTCATATTTTGGCAGCTACTATCTAAGGTATGCTGGTCCTATGAGCAGGCTAAGTATAAATATAGCTTCTATAGTGAGGCAGCAGGCATTCTAAATATTATAATACTCTTAATGTTTGCTAAATGCATTCTTTGCATTCCTTTGGGATTTGATGGTTTAAACTTGACTACAGTAATAAATACATATACATCAAGTTTATCGCTGTAACTGTAAGAACAGTCTGTCTGTTTTTATTTATTCATTACACTGAAAGATGCATACACATGTAGCTAACCTCTGAGGTTTGCTGTGCTGAGAAAGCAAGGGCTCATGAGATACACTTGGAAATTCTGCCTGGACCCTTGCAGAAGAGTCAAGAAGTTCACAGTCTATCCACAATCCGCCCTTCAGAATTATTTACTAGGATTGATAATTCTTTCTTTACAAATTGGAGATGGTTTAAAAAGCAATTACTACTAAATGGGATTGAAATGCAGATTTCAGTCTCAGACCCAACACTCTGCCCATCCAGTTTCCTATTAAAACTCTCCTGATTTTAAAGGGCATTTAAAGAGATTTCATTGGGATGGTCCTGCATCTTGTAAATACTTCTTCTCAACTTTTCTCTCAATCACTCTCCTACTCCTGATTTTTCATATTGTAAAGTTGTGCAATTATTCAGATTAGCAATGTGACACCAGCCCTGTAGGCTCATTGATAACAGAACCTGGTGTATGTCTTCTCAGAAGCTTCATTGACTTTAGTGGGACTTGCTTCCAGGTAAGTGTGTACAGCATGGGTCAGCAAAATGCAGCCAGTAGGTCACATGAAGAGACCTGGGGACATTTTTGCAGCTCTCTGGTGTTGCCAGACAAACTGAAATATGGATCTGCTCAGATCACCCACCCTGCTGTGTAAGATAGCAAACTGTTTATGTACCTGTGTTTGAAAATATCTCTACATATGTTTCAGAGACATCACCATACATTCTTTTTACTATCAGTTGGATGAATATTTTAAAAAATTCAATTTGCTGCATACTGCATGTGCATGTGTATAATTTTAATATTATGTAGCACAAAAAGCTAGACACATATTCTGAGTAAGTACTTCACAACAGCCTAGTAAGTCATGCCAATACTACTATTAAGTAATAATAACTCTGCACCAAAAGAGTAGAAATGTGGACTAAGAATAATTTAGGATGAGCAGAGCATGTATTTTAAAAGGTGAAGTGAATCTAAAGCATAGAGTAATATGTTTAGTGTATATGTATACAAATGTCAGGTGCTCTTGATATGCAGGAATTGTACGTAAACTCACTTCTGTTTTCATTATTTTTCTTCATATATCTTAATAATTTTTAAGAAAAAAATTGTGTGCTGTAAAATAAATTCTGAGTTATATTGACCCTTTCCAGGGTTTTCTAGGTAGAGAGGACTCAAAAGTAGTTGACGGTTCTCTTCTTTGGAGGTCATCCTGGGAGTGTGCAACTCGCCCAAAGCCACACAGGCTGGCTCTTCTGGGACGCAGAGGAGGGAACTGAAATTTCGTCCTCTGTCTTTGTAGCCAGATGCCTCACTAAGCTATCCACCTTCATGACAATTGTACTATTCATAGTAGACAGACAGGGCATAACATTAATAAATCAAATGGGCCCCTAAGAAAAATAATGCCCTTCCTAAGGTGATCTTAAGGGAAGATGGGTAGCTGAGGTTTGTTTTTAAATGTTGTTAACTGCCCAGAGTAGTGCCTTGGCAATATATGAAAAGGGCATATGTAAATGTAATGCATAAAATAAAATGTAATCAGTTCCTTTATACAAATGAACAAGAAAATTCATAGGTCATGCTCTTAATCCCTGTAACCTCCTCCTGAGAACAGCCATGCAGCCAGACACAAATCTGCATTTCTATGTACATCCCAGGCTGACTCCCTTCATAGAAATCAACTGGTTCACCAGATTAGCCAAGTCTTTGGATTGGACTGTATGCATTCCTCTCTGGGAGCTCCCCAGTTTCTCCTCCCCCAATATGACTTGGGTTGTAAAAGAAACTTCCTTTGTCTTCCTGGTAACAAAGAAGCATGAGGATCTAAAGCCATTATAGGTGGCTTAGTGCTTTCTCCCCTCCCTTGGAAGGCTCTTTGTGAATTATCTCTCAATACTCATGATAACAATATTTAGTTAACTGTTTCTGCATTTCATTTTTAAACTAAGTGTCAATTTCTAAGTTTCTCTCTGTGAGCACATAGGACCTGACTTTGATTTGACAATCTTGTCTAGTCTGAGAGGTTTCTCGTGCTGGCCATGCTAACCTGTTTTTAAGAAATTTAAAGAGATATTTGAAAAGAATTTTTCTGTCTTTATAAAGTATGTTAGCTTGCTTCCATATATCCTGGACTGTATGGATATGAAAACTGCAAGAAATGACAGCTTGTCTTTGAGGAATATAGACAAAAAGTGCTCAACAGCCTGTCTTACAAGATTGGAGGTGCAGATATTCAGGTTTCTCACACCATTGTGCAGCACTGTATTTCTGATAAGCAGAACAACCCCATGTTTAGATTCCACTTTAGATTCTGTATAACACAGAAAGCTGTTAGGCCTACTTTTCATCCAAACCCTGAGAAAAGAAGTACTAAGGGTGTTGGACTTAATATATACTGATTTGTGTGGACCAATTAATTTTCCATCATTAGCAAATAACAAATATATATTGACTCTAGTGGACAATTTGTCAAGATACAGCGTTATCTATCTGCTTAGGGAGAAACGTCAAACACATGAATTACTTAAGAAATATATTGCCATGGTGAGCAATAGGTTTGAAAGAAAACCACAAGCAATTCTTTCAGATAATGGTGGTGAGTATATTTCCCAGAACACCCAAATATTGTTTGAGGAACATGGAATCATGCATTATAGAACTGTCCCATATACTCCTGAACAAAATGGAGTTGCAGAGAGAAAATGGAGGTCCTTGCTAGAAATGATAAGATCCATGCTTGCAGATGCTGAATTACCCAATAAGTTTTGGGAAGAAGTAGTTATGACAGCTAATTATCTTCAGAATAGACTCTCTACAGAATGTACTGTATGTACTGTACTCCATTTGAACTATGGAACAATAGAAAACCATGTCTGAAGCACAGAGTTTTTGGCTGTCAGGCATTTTTTATGTCCCAGCACACAGAAGGAGCAAATTGGGTCCAAGGTTTGAACCAACAATATTAGTTGGGTATGCCCCTGGTTTCAGAGGATACAGAGTAATGGACTTAAAAACAGGAAACATCAGTGTAAAGCATGTCACTCATTTTGAAGAAGAAAAGAAAATCATCAAGAGAGACACCATCTTAGATGATAACTCACAACCTTACAATGTACCTCTTTTAGATACGTTAACACCAGTCTCTCTGCAATCCATATTAAAGAGAGAACAGGATATAGATGAAAACAGTAAGCCATCAGAAGGGGATGTAGTGGCCAATATTGATGAAGAGGTCAGTGACACGGATCTGGAACAGGCTCTCTTGCAATAAATTGCACATGAGTCAGAAGTGATTCCAGAACCTGCGGTCAGATGCTAATTATGGTCAAATAAAGGTATACCACCCCCTTGCCTGTCTTACTAAGAATTTTACAGAAATGTTGTGAAGGAGCAGTGTGTATAAGTGAGCCATCCGTAGTGATAGAAGCTATAGAACGAGGAGAAGAGAAGAAGAATGTGGTAGAGCAAGGGATTGAGGAGGTGACAGTTATGAAAGAGGGGGGAGAATTAGAATCAAAGGAAAAGGTGGGAAAGACTGAGGTTTGTTTAGCTGAGGAAGATAAAGGGATAAAGTGGGCAGAGCAGGAGATGACAGTGTGGGAGGAAGTACGCTAGTTCAGTTCAGTAGTAGCCGATTATAAGAGGAAAAGAGCAGAGGCACGAAAAAGGGAGATTGAGAACATAAAGCCCCAAGGACTGTTAAAGGACTTCCCAAACCTAAGAATGGGAGGACTGTTGCCAGAGCCTACTCCAGGGGAGACGAAACCAACACGATTCCTGACTAGAGAATGGACCATGATTGTGGCACCGCGTGAGCTTGAGTTACAGAGGGAAGTAGAAATAGCCCACAACCACTTTTATGACCGGCCTGACGAGAGAGGGTCGATCAGAAACGCATGTTGTGGGGCGATCTGTGTCCTGAGAAGTACTCCTCCCCCAAGACTGGACTACAAGGAATGGTGTGGGGGGCGCCCCTGTTGAGTCCGTGGGAGTATGGCTAAAGCTTTAGTTCTGTCAGTTGCAGCCTGTTACCAGAGTTAAGACTT